TACCCAAAACACTCAGCCCAACCCAGGAAAAACAAAAAACATTGAAAAAAATATGCCCGAACCGGGTCCGGCCCGGCCGGTACAAAAGGATAGGTTAGACCGGAACCGCCCCGCCCAACCCCCCCCCCCCCCCCCCGGGCCTGGCCTAGGCTTGGAACCAGGACCGGTTCACCGGGGCGCTCCGGTCCCGCACAGTGGCGGGTCGGGCCAGACCGGAACCGGAGCACCACAAGCTGGGAGTGACAAAAGTGTGTTGCATTCATTGGGGGAGCAGCAGCCTGCTGCGCAAAAGAAAGAAAATGGAGGAGGCCAAGTAAAATCTTATATTCCCTTATAATGTTGTAATTTTTGTATTTATACTCCAATATTTACAAAAAGTATATCAAAATTCACAGTCCATAACTTTTTATGATTTTTCATATGATATCTATATTGTATGTATAAAGTTTTAAAAAAATATGAAATTTTAATACCAAAAGGTTTTCAGACCTAATTTTCTTAAAAAAAGATTCAAATAGTAAAATTAAGATCAAATGTTCCGTATCGCTAAGCCCATTTTATGATATTTCAAGTCGAATTTTTTGATAAAAGTTTTTTAGCATGCCTTTGTAGCATAAATAAAAACATCGTTATTTACTTAAAACATCGTTATTTTTTTATATGTCTAGTATTATTTATATTTTTATTATGGGTAGAATCTAGAGTAGAATGAGTTAAAACATCGTTATTTACTTAAAACATTTTTTAAGTATTGCAATTTTTTAGTCTAGGTGGTCCTACTATTTCGTGTGTCTCCTAGGTGAATTAGTCGACTGTCTAGGACGCCTAGTTACCCGCACAGAGCGGTTAACCAGCCGCTTCTAATTAGTTTTTAAGTTAAATGCTTGCTTTTATTATTATACATCAGTTTTTGTCTATGTTTTTGACATTCATGTTATTTCCGTGTTTATAATTGTGTTTTTGATTAGTTTTGAGTGATTGTTACTCTAGAAATTACACACTTTTGGTGTAATAGTTTAGTTTGTAAAATGTTTGTAAATTGTTTAGATTAGGTTGGTTCTGAGCTCAAACAGGTCCAAGACCACTCTAGGGACCATTGGTGAACATCACAAATGGAAGGAAGGTGCAAAGATTTCAAGAAAAGATGAAGATTCTGATTTTTGGTAGTGTACCCGGTCGAGTATGCTCTATACCCGATCGGGTAAGTTGCTGAAAAGTCAAATCGAATCAACCCGGGAACAAGGCAACATGCAGGAGGATTTTTTAACTCGATCGCGTATCCATACCCGATCGGGTGGCCGACATACCCGATCGGGTATGACCCCAGATTTTCAGTTTCGAGGAAATAACCCTTACCCGATCGGTTGAGCTGAAAACCCGATCGGGTACACGACCCTGCAGGCCTAAAAAGCCTATAAATACACCACATTTCCTCCACAAAAAAATTACCAATTCCTCTTTATACTCTTAAGCTCAGTTTAGAATAGCATTTCTCTATATTTCTTTTAACATGTTTAGTCTCCAAATGAGGAGCTAAACTTCCATTTCTTGGTTTTGCTCTTGAAGCTTGTTGATTATTGAAGTTGTGAGTTATTTTCTGACTTTCTCCTCTTGATTATTAATTCTTCCCTTAATCTCATTCTATATTAATGTTGGAGGGTGTCTAAGTGACGATTAGTTAACGTTCCGACATTGAGTATTACTAGGAACGATCAACGAACCGATGGTTAAACGTTGATGGTTTCACAAGTAACTAACTTCGGTTTATTAATGCACGGTCGTGGTTAATAAACTTAAGAGGGATTAATTTTGTTGGTTAAACCGAAACCATTGTGTTGAGGTTATCAATCTCAATTGATTTCATCAAGAAGTTAAAGAGGTTAAATGCTACTATTAAATCGGTATACGGCGTTGTTCTATATTTGGTTAATAGTAAGGGTTATTAATGAACGGTCGTTGTTAATAACTACCCTCGATGAATTGGATATACTCCTCGATTGAGTATTCGAGAGGGGATAAGTTATAGATATAACAATGATCGACTAAAATATATCAACAAGTGGAAAGTAGCAAGACTAAGTCCCTTTTATTCTCGAATTTAATCCCATATAACTCGTTCATCTTCGTGTTTAATTTAATTAAATCACTCAACAATCAAAACCCCCCTTTATTTACTTCTTTCGTTAAAAAGATAAATTATTCCTTTCCCTGTGGATACGAACTCTACTTCACTATACTACGTAATAGTGCTAGTATCGATTTATTTTGAGTGCACGCACGACAAAGTGCACGTCAGTTTTTTAATAAATAATTGTGATAAAAGCCTTCCAAATGTAATAGGGGAATACTTGTACACGCATATTAATTTGTTATTTTTCTGCGGTGCTTGGTAACGTTCTAGGGATTAATCTGGGAAATTAAACTGCTGCTCCGCCACATGAGGTGGCCGGAGTGACAACCTGCACTGGGACAATTTACTCAATGTGCTCATCCTCGCATCCTCCCTTAAGATAAAAAAAGAGAAAGAGATGAAGAAAACGACGATAAAAGAGGCTGGGTGTGAGGGGACGGAGCCTCAACCACGAAAGAGAAAGAAAATGTTAAAGAAAAAATGAAAAAAAATCACACTTACCGGCAAAAAGTAGTCAAGTTTCAGTTAATTGGTTGATATGATTCTTTTTTAAGAGTAAAAGTGTTTATGAGATGCTTTTTTAGTACATGGGCCTATGTGATGTTTTCGTAATTGTACAAGGGTATATATTTGACACTTTTTCCCAAAAAAAAATATCCATCACCAAGTGGTGTCGGCCCTATTTTGGAGGTGTAAATGTGTTAACAAATTAAAGGGTGTTGAACATATAAACACTTCTGGGGCCACTTTCATTAGATCTTGGCTTTTTCCCTGCTCGTGAGAGAGACGAACGACTCAGGGTATTGGCCTTACTACTTCTGTTGCAGCACCTTCTGCCTTGCTCTCTTGTTCGCTCCGCCACTTTGTTGGCCGCCCTTGCGTCTCAACGAACTGTTATAGTAGCTCGATGGTCTTCGCCCGCCAAAAATGACTGCCTGAGAGATCTCCGCTCACGACCCAGGCAGCAGCAACATCGAGGGTCTCCCTCAATCACAAGAAACAAATCTACAAGAATCAAACTAGATTTAATCCCCTCTTCGTCGGCAATAGGCGGCGGCCATCTCAGATGGTGATTAATTCCTCACAACTGTTAAAACATTTGTCTCACACCGAAAAGCTATAAATTAAACAATTAAACATTATATAATGTTTAATTAAAAAATTAAACATTATATAAGGACTCCTCCTCCTATCAGTTTAACCTTTTAGGATGGAACCTCGGGTCTTAACATGGTATCAGAGCTAATTTCGGTTGTGGTTTGACGGCTTGTTTAGCACCCATGATTAAGGGTAGATTATTAATGGTTTGTTTGGCCCGTTTATACACCACGATATTGTCGAGCCCGGTTCGGGCTGAGGGGGCGTGTTAAAGCATTTGTCCCACTGATCTTTTAGGATGGAACCGCGGGTCTTAACAACAACAACTAAGATTTCATATTTGGAAGGGATGGCACGATGTGTTTGCCTCCAAGATGTAGCTCAGGTCAAAAACCAGCGGACCAAAATTGATTTTCACATGGACCACCTACGAGGATTCAAATTATAGAAGGCAAAAAAATGAAAGTAGAGAAGCAAAAAATGAGAAAGAGAACTCCATTGATTTTCACACGAGAGAATTAAATTCTAAATACTTGCCGTTGTAGTAGAATGGTCCTCAATGGAGAAAAGTTTCAGAAAAATGAAAGAGAAAGGAAGAAAGAGAAAAAAGAAAGAAAGTTGAGTTGACATAAAAGAAAAAATTAAGGTAAATTAAAAAGTATGCTAATTGTGCTAAGATGACCCTGAATTTAAATGTAAATGTCATTGCATAAAATAAAAGAATGGCATGTTTAATGGAGTACAAATGGAGTAATATTAGTGGTCCACCTCACAACATACATTGTTGTATGTTATTTACAACCAGCACCGAAGTACTCGCAGGGGCGGATCTGGCCCATGGCCAGGGTGGGCCTAGGCCCATGCTCAAAAAATATAATTATTTGTATATATATACTATGTATATATTAATATATAGTGTTTTAGTAGTTATGATATAAAAAAAGTTAATGTCAATTTGTTAACATCAATCAAGTTGGTCCAATGGAAGCACACTAATTATGCAACAAAAGGAGTCAGGTTCAAGTCCCTTGGGCACCATATTTATAGTTTTTCAATGCAACATGACTAAATTTTTTGATACACTGTCCAAATTGTTGGGCTTTTGGTAATTGGTCTGCAAAATATATATAGTTCAAATCATTTGGCTTTTGAATATTAGGTTGAAAAATTAATTAATTCGATTCATTAGAATTTCGAATATTAGTCTAAAAAATTAACTAGTTCACATCATTGGACAATTGAATGTTGATTTGAAAAGTTAATAAGTTCAATTCATTCTGCTTGGTAGGTGAAATTTAATTAGTTTACTTTTTACATAGAGAATAGACTATGGAGTCAAAAGAAAATTGATTTTCGAGAAATCAATTTGAAAATTGGTATTGAACACGTCATTAACCGACACAAGCCAATTTTGGTTAGATATCTATCTATGACTCTTTTAAGATAATTAAATTTTCGGTTTTGTAATATTTATTATTTTTTCTTTGACACTTCTGTAAAATTATATAATTAAATCTTGTAATTTTAACATTTTTTTGCAAAATAAATTGTTTATCGCTAATTAAAATTTGGCCCCACCTCAACGCAAATGCTAGATCCGCCCCTGAGTACTCGCCCTACTAAGTACATGGATTTGCCCCTGTAAATGACGGTAATAAAAGATGCAGATATGCCTCAACAAAATGTAAGAGATATTATTATAAATTGTGTATATTTCATATAAATGTAATACATTATAATATTTTACTCATCCAACCACTATCCACTAGTTGGAATTGAACGAGACAATACAACCAGGGCAGGGACAAAGAGAAGCAGGACAGTAAAGTGTATTATAAATCAACTAATTTATTTATACTCCCAATCCTAAACCAAGCTTTTGGTGTACTCGGACATGCCATTACTTCTTAGGCCTTAACTGCAGCAAGTCAAAAAGTAGTTTGGGGTTGAGAAGAAGAGATTTGAGATACTAATACATAATGATAATTATAAGAAAGGCTACTTATTTAATGACTAGGTAATTACTTAATGCATGAAGAGGTGAGAATAATAAACCTGGCTGCTATGACCACATTTCTTCTTCCGGCAGTTCGTGGCTCTAGGGTGCAGACGAGCGTAACACCTTCGAACAAACGTACACAGTATTGTCAAACGATACAAATAAGTTTATTCGAGTATATAAATAAAAGAGACAATGAATAAGAAAATCATATAAGTTCAATTAAGCACAAAATGAATTGAGAAGATCAAGATGAGGCATACTTGCAGCAAATCAACTTGTCCTGAATGTATTTGTAAGCCAATCTCATTAGTGATGGATTCACTTTGACTATGAAACTCCTCATGCCTCTGCCGCCGCCCCTAAGTCTCAGCACAAGATGAAGTGTGGCTTCTGCATCAATAAGTGCAACATAGGGAAAATCTCATTCTTGATTTTCTATGTTCGAGAACGTTGAATCCCCAATCTCAAGGGCCCTCACGTCCCTACCCGACAAGACATTAAGAAGGTAACTCAGTCAGTCCAATGATGGTAGATTTTGTACCCGTGCGCACCAGAGGTCCAGCCCAGTACGGATTGTATCCTCCACACGGCTGCTGCGGGTTTTGATTCTTGGTCAACGTTCCAACTTCCCACCATTCCACCAACTTAGCTACCCGTACGGTACATTCCCGGTTTTTTAAGTAGGACTCTAATCCATTTAATTAAGACACTTCAACTCTAATCCATTTATGCACATTAATCATGTCTAGCTTACTCTCAATGTTGGTGATATACTCCGTATTTACAATTATAACACGTACATTTCTTATTCTATATTTTTTTTTAAAAAGGTGATTTCTCTATAAACACACATTTTCAAATGAAAAATAACAGATCAATTATTATGTGTTTTATTGTACATAATATCTAGCTATATAGTCAGAATATAATGAATCTAACAATTGAACAACCTTTTTCGATGTTGTAGTCGGCCAAGGTTCTTCCGTCTTCAAGTTGCTTTCCAGCAAAGATCAATCGTTGCTGCTCAGGTGGAATTCCTAAAATATAAGATTATGAAGGGATTAAAACAACAATTCAAGAATGTATTACATTCATTAGAAAAATAAATTAAATACTCCTCAATTCATAAAAAAAAAAAAGTTGCAATAGAAAAATAAATGAATGATCGAATTAAATCATTTAATAATTAATGAACCTTCATAGTGTAAGATCTTGGCCTTCACATTGTCAATGGTGTCGCTTCTGCCCTGTATTTGAAGAGTTAAAGTCTTCCCATTTAAGGTTTTGACGAAGATCTGCTGCATCATATAAATCTTCCTTTTATGATTAGTAGCTCTTTTTCTTTAATTTACTTAATTATATGTCTTGGCTGCTTAATAACTAATTAATCGCTTAATCACATGCTAATTGCCGGGTTTTATAGTTGATCACTACGCGCTGCCCAAGTGATTATGTGTAGCCTTCCCAAAATTAAAATACTTGATCACCAAGTATTCTTGTTATTAAAGAAACACATGCTCCAAAGCTAATGGGTTTTATATACTCGTATAAATAACTGCTCTTTGTTTCTTTGCATTTGTTTTTTTAAGTTGTTTTGTTAGAAGTAGGCTATTGACAGATCTATAAACATTGTTTAATGGGACATAATTGCCATGTAGCAATGTAACATAATCACTTATTCACTTATTGCGTAATTGCATCCTCCAAATTAATCTATAATATCGTTTAATTAATTTACATAATAATCGTAAATTTCACTACAAAAAATAACAAAATTGGCACAGTTTTGGACTAAATTAATCGGAAATTCTAGATGTTTATTCTGTGGGTTATTATACAAATATAACCATCGAGTCTGGTCATGTCTCTTTACATCTAGTCTGGTCTGAGATCGAAATCATTCTAATTAAAAACATTCTTAATGTTGTCAATAATATTAATATGATAACAAAATAAAGACAGTATTTATATAACCACCCAAATATTACTCCGTACTAAACAATATTTGCCACAAACTTAATGAAGCAGATCAAAAAGAAACACGGAGATACAGCTACTAGGGAAGATAAACTGATGAAGAGCAGATGAAGTGATTAATATGAATTAAGATATATAAATATCTCGTTAGTCTCAAACTCAAAACTACTATTTTTTAAATAATCTTCATATGCATAATTTTTAAAAAGAAGATTGTAAAAAAAATTATAAGAGCATTATAATATGTTACAAATATTTATATAGTAATTGTTTGATATTACAAATATTTATAATAATTGTTTGAATTTGTAATCCAGATTAGATTAAGATTTTGAGTATCTTTTAATAGTTTTAAAGATAGTCAATTTTTAAAAATAAAGTTAAACCCTTTTTTAAAAAATAAAAATAAAACAAAATTTAAGAAAATATAAAAACCTATTTTAATTTAAAAGCAATACAAGGAGTAGGGATGGACTGCGTCTGGCTAGGCTCCGGGCAAGGACTGGGCGGGCTCGGTAGTAAAAATTTCAGGCCCGATACCGGACCGGGTTTGTACCGGGGCTGGATCGGGCTGAGCCTAAACAGTACCGGGGTCGAGTCCGGGCTCCGAGATGGACCTAGGCAATAAATTAAAAAAATAGTGTAATCATGCCCGGAACCGAACCGGGCCTAAAAATGAGCCCGAAGCCCACCCTTATAGCCACTGGGTCGGGCTTAAACAGTACCGGGGTCGGGGCATGTCGGGCCGAGCGGCCGACCCGTCCCAGTCTATCCCTAAGAAGGAGTTTGGTGCACTTATCAGTTATCACGTACTAGAAATGAATTAGGTGAGTTGGAATGTTTTTACTTGGACTGTAATTTGTCCCAGACCAGGTCTGACCAGACCAAACCAGACTAGGCGTAGATAATTATAAAAATACAAAGAAACCAGACCAAAACAGACCAGAAAATTAGTAAAAACATCCTTATATGCTACAAGTAAGAATGTAATCTAGTTTTTAACTCACCGAGTGAACGTGTGAGTAGGGTTGTAAACGAATCAAATAATTTGTGCTCGATTCGCGATTCGAATTCGTATAAGACGATTCGAATTCGGAAAATTCAAATACAAATACAAATATGAATATTAAATTTGATTCGATTTGTTATCAAATACAAATAAGAATATCAGTGTATTCGATTCAAATATATTCGATTAATAATAGTGATAATATTAATAATAATATTAATAATAATAGTAATAACACTATAATAACTTTTAAAAGATAGCAATACCTTAAAGTGTAGTTCATATATACACTTACGCATACAGATTCTGTTGGGTTAATGGCCCAAGCTGAGGACCGGCCCATTTACCTTTTCTTCCGGACATACGTCCAGATAGATCACTAAGATAGCCTGGCAAGCCCATCTCCTCCAGGATGGACGAACATCTTCAGATGGGGTTCAGGCTCAACGGCCCATCTCGACGAACGTCTATGCAGAGACAAGGAGCAGGACCACGGGCCACCTGAATGGCGACGAACGTCGCCAGAGCAAGCCCGTAGCTATCGGAGGCAGTCCAGTCCGCATGGCGAGAATCCACCTGGAGCCAAAGGCCAGGGGACGAACGGTCGATACCCCTTGGAGGCCACCTGGAGCAATCCAGCTCGCTCCCCTGGCGGACGAACGTGCCCACTAATTAGGCGGGAAACCTAGATTCTGGCGGGAAGTGCATTTAATGCTGAAGATTTGGTGGTTGAGACACCAGCGAACCACAGGCTTCCACGTCAGTGTAGCCATCTGCCCATTGGTGGGTATAAATAGAAGCATTTATTTCATTGTAAAGGGTTGGCAACTTTCTATTCTTAGCACTCTAGTTATAGCATTCTTACTCGCAGCACTTCTACTGCCTAGTAAGACGAACGGCCGACGAGCCTTAGCGAAAAGTATTGTATTAGGGAGTGATTAAGAGATAATAATACCTAATCACTTACTTGCTACGTTATTGTTCTCCTTGATCCTTATTACTTGCTTGTTGGGCTAGATACCCATACACACTCCACTCTAAATCCTTGGGCTTACGTGTTGGACCTGAGGGTTGAAGGAATAAACCTCAACACTGGCGCCGTCTGTGGGAAACTGAACTAAAAGTTTCCAGAACTCTCCCAAACAGCTACTAAATCTACCCACAGCAAGCACGATGACAAGGAACAATCGACAACGTGACCTCTCCGAGCAGCTGTCCCGTGGGCGAAGCAACCGCGGGCAAACCATGGAATGCTCCGAGACGTTGGGAACTACTGGGGGTGAGGGTGGCCTCACCAACCTCATTCCCCACGAGGCCAGGCGCGACCCCCGACTCATGAGGGAATTGGCGGAAATGATGCGCCGAATGGCAGATGAACAGGAGGCGGAAGAAGAGGTGTATTCAGCTAACACCATCTGGACGCCCATATCGCCCATCCACCACATGCAGTCCTTGGACGAGACGGCGGAATCTGCCGGGCGTCGGACGCCCGTCCACGCGAGGTTGGGCCAAAATTCGTCCTCCCACGGAGCTGGGGGGCACACCAGCGCCGCTACCCCTCATTATGGTTGACAGGATGATCATCGGGGGCGCACGCCGAATGCTCCCTCAGAACATCGGGGCACCGCCATTACCCCCGCCGCCAGTAACATTGGACGACGTTTCCAAAGGCGTGGTGCCCATATTACCCGAAGGCAACCCGACGCGGTTGCCCCACGAAGGAACATTGCGCTCGAGGCCGCCCCTCCTGTGTCCCCCGGAAGGGCCGCACAGGAGGCCTGGCTAGAGGCAATGGAGCGGCGAATAGCTGAGATGGACAGACGGGCGGAGGCCGCTCCAGCTACGCCTCGTTTCTCCCTCACCTCGCCATTTACTCCGAGGGTCATGAATGCAGAGATCCCACGGGACTGCAGACCCCCCGGAGGAATAATATACAATGGGACCGGAGATCCCAAAGCTCACCTGATCAGCTTCCAGGGGAACCTCTCCATGCTGGGAGCATCCGATGAGGCCATCTGCCGGCTCTTCTTCAGCACCCTGAGGGGTCCGGCGCAAGAGTGGTTCGGGCAGCTGAGGCCCGGATCTATTGACAACTACGAGCAGCTGTCCCAGCAGTTCATGGCACAGTTCGCTGCCAGCACCACCCCCAAGAAGAGCTTCACATCGCTCACAAGTGTGAAGCAGGGGAAGGACGAACCTCTGGCCAAATTTCTGGTCAGATGGAGAGACGAAGTGCTCCAGGTAGACGACCTGGACGAGCGACTGGGAGTGAACATGTTCACCAGCGCTTTGGCAACAGGGGATCTATACCGGGACCTTCGGAGGAACCCCAGCACCAGCTACACCAAGGTGCTGGCTCGGGCACAGAAGTATGCCTCCATTGAGGAGGAAATCAGATTAAGGGACGGCGCACTGGCAGCCCCTTCCCGGAAATTGTCAGATAGGCTCGGCCCCGGAGGCGGTCCCTCCCCCAAGAACAAAAGGCAGAAGACGGACGGAGGCATGGTCCCATGGAAGGCTCACCCTGAGGCGAGCACCGTGCGTCCAGGGGATTATCACGTCCCTTTGGCTTACCCCGTGGGCCAGATCTTCGACGCCATCAAAGACAAGGGCCTCCTGAGGGAGCCCCAAGACAAGAAGGCGCTTATGGGTCTCGATGGGACCGCATACTGCGAGTACCACCAGAGGGTCGGCCACCTTACCGACAACTGCAAACAACTGAGAATGGCCATTGACGAACTGATCCGACAGGGCTACCTGGGCGAGTTCACCAAGCTACTGAAGAAGAATAGCCCGAGGCAGCCGAACCCGAGGTCACGATCATGGCGCCGCGACGATCGGCGCGAGGCCGAACCAAAGGACGTAGATTATCGGAGTGCCGATAAACGCCCGGAGGGGTCCCTCGGCCCGAATGGCGGGAAGAAGAAGTTGGAGATCAAGGTGATCTTCGGGGGTGCTGAAACCGGAGACACACCTGCTGAGCGGAAGAAGTTTGAGAGGTCCCTCTATGTGGGCTCCATATCAGCTCCCCCCACCAAAAGGAACAAAGTGGAGGCTATCACCTTTGGACCGGCCGACCTACCAATGTCGCCGGCCCCGCACAGGGATGAGTTGGTGATCAGCATGGATGTCAACAATGTGATCGTCCGCCGCGTCCTTGTTGACACTGGGAGCAGCGTGAACGTCCTCTACTGGGAGGCGTTCGAAGGGATGAAGCTGAGGAAGGATCAGCTGGCCCCCCTACGCACCCCTCTTTCTGGCTTCACGGGGGACTGCATCGACGCGGAGGGCACCATCGGCCTCCCCGTGGAGATCGGGGATGGGCCTCACACCACCCGCATCCGGATGACGTTCGTCGTGGTCCGCCTAAAGTGTGCTCACAACGCAATTTTGGGTCAGCCCGGCTTGGAAGATCTCGAGGCCATATGCTCTGTGCGGCA